TTAGGAAAAAAATAATTTTTGGTGGTATACAAAACATTTGGTCAAAAAAATGCTAGTTGAAAGTCAAAAATGTCTGGAGAAAAATAACCAACCCGAGCATATTTCTTCGAAAGTCGGAATAAAAATAAATTTATATTTGACATGATACTGAAGTAAATTTTTGATGTCATTTTTTTCAGGGTTGATGCCAGGTCATTTTTTTGATGTAACAATTAGGTTTGAAAGGTTGAGTATAGATACAAAATTTGTTTTAATTAGTTCAATTAGTCGTAATAGAGTTCAAATTTTTACATTGTTTGCGAAGATGCTTGCTCAGCAAGAACCCCTCTAAAACTACTGGCCAAGCTACTGGCTAATTTACGCCTTCAGAAGATGATTTCTCAATTTCTTGTCCAGTCCTTTCTTTGATTTCTTCTAGCATGTCAAATTTGAAAATGATGTACCAGTCGACCCAACTTTTTGATACCTGTTAGTGCGCGAAAGTTTAACAAATAAGATGCAAAATCCCCTTTGAAGTTATGAGGTCGAAACAATTAATTGGCTTAACTTAGTTATCTTTTTTCTAATTTCACGCCATTTTTAAAGCGTTAAGACATCTGTGGGTGCGATTAGAAGCATCAAAAGCTTTTGTTTATGATAAATTGTCCAAAATATTTTTCACTGTTTACTTCAATACTTGCAACTAATTTATTTCACATTTTTATTATTAAAGAACAATTAGCTATTTAATTTTGGAAGCAAAATTTATTTGTCTGAACTTTCCTTTTTGCATGGTTAATTGAGCAACCGCAACAACAAAAATTAACGATCAAATTTTCATTTAGATCACCACAATGAAGGTTTGCATTCGAATTTTCATTTAGATCACCACAATGAAGGTTTGCATTCGAATTGTTTGTTTTTGAATTATCTGCGTTTCATTTTTGTCGTTATGTGTTGCATTAAGTTGCAAATTATTTGAACTAAAAGTTTTCCATAAACTCGTTTTTTTTTCTTTTCTCGACTTGAACACAAATTTTTCTTTCATGTATGCAACGGTTTTTCTAGGCTAGCGGTTGGCATCAATACGTTGGCGATTGCGTTTTTAATTAAAGTCTTGTCTAACAAAACTTTATCAATTTTTTATCTATAAGTTTTACTTTTTGGAAACCAACGACATATTTTGAGCATGTCTGAACATTAAGTCTGTTCGCAATTTTTAGTTTTTCTCATTGAATGTTGGTTTTAAGTTAACCAACTCCGGTTTGACATGCTTGTAGTTTTTCTTTAATTTTCATTCATTTGGATAAAAGGGTTGCCGTTTAATATATATTGGCTTAGTCTTCTGACATAAAAATTTTCTTATTCTTTGAAAATCATTATGGCAAAAAACTGTTGTCGGTCTGCGGATGCATGGAGATTTCCATTAAGAGCCGAATATATATAGTTAACGAGATACGATGGATTTTACAAAGTTTGAAAGAAAAATTCAAAATAAATTTAAATTCAATTTCTTTCTTACCCGCCGTTGCCTGCTAACGAAGATTTAGTTGAGTGTTCCGATTTAAGTCAAAAATTGACCGTCCAGATATGGATGATTTTACGAAATTTCCGTAAATTGAAATAATTACGTACCCGTGATTGCCTGCTAACGGGGTTGCAGTTTAGGGTTCCGTTTCTAATGCAAAAACTACATCTCTCAAAAGCGCGTATTTTTGAACATATAAGTTTGAGGATTCTTTCAAAATTCTCTTACTTCTTATAGTTAAGGAACCACATACATAGCTAGGGTAGGCGTTTGTGGTCCATATGGCCCCGTTGTCTATCCTCTCCGAGTCTCATTTCTGATGATTATCAACGATGAATTGCTCAATTTATGTTATGATTGACCGGAGAAATTTATTCCTTCTTTCTCTCTTTAGGTAGTATATCTCCCGCGTTAATTGTTCAAAAATTATTTTTCAATACGAGGAAAAATAATTTTGTCTCCAAATAAAATTTTTGTTTTATTTTGGTTTTTAAAAACTACCTGTGTTGTTCATTTTAGATTTTTAACTGGTCAGAACCTTGAGCTACTTGCGCAGCAACCGGCACTTCTAGTTGAAACTAGGATGTTTGAATAGTTGTAATTTAAATTGTTCAGTCGCGTGTTGTCTGAACCAATTTCTTTGTTGATTCTACTGAGTTTCAAAATTCTATAGGGTAGTTTTTTTAAGAGACCTGGTTACAAGCTGAATGTTAAATTTTGCAAATAAACTAGAGATTAATTTTTGTTTGGTGTTTTAGACAAGTTTTTCCAAAAAAGATTTCATTGAAACTTGAAAAAAAAATAGTAAGTCACATCTTTGCTCCTCAAGCGACTCAAAAAGAGGCCTTTCAATAAATATAATTAAAGCTGAAACCTTTAGACCAAATAACGAAAAAAAAACGATATACTGTTAATTTACAACCAGCATAGATAAACTAGTTTCGAAAAACTGACACTTATGGGTTGAGTTATAATTTTTGCTAGTAAGCTGGAGGAGTTAGAATGTGAATGACCCCAATTGCCGATAGAGAAACGAAGGTTTTTCTATGCCTAAGTTCGCTCGGAGCTTTCCACCGCTCATCCCGAATATTGAAAATTTATTCCAGAATAGTAACCCGGGTACTCTACTTTTTCCCCCGTTGAGACCTATTCACATAAACCGCTGGTGAAAGATTACGTGCTTCATAACAAATTCAAAACTAACGAATGCTTTTGCTCATTTAGACTAGAGGTAACGTCCATGCTCGGGACAAGAAAGACTAGGAGTTCGAGTTCCAGCGGGGACTTTTTTCTTGCTTTATAAAAATTCGAATATCCTGTCTGCTTACTTTTATCGGCTGTTCTCGCAGCAGGCACTTTTATCTATAAGGTTCAGCTATTTCGATCATTGTAGAAAGCCATATTTAAAATTTATAATGGTGTGAGCAATTGAGTTCCAAGATTTCGTGAAACTTCCGCTTTTTTGGCTTGTTTATCGATCTAGTTGCCTCGTGTTATGCCCAACTCTGCTCAAAACAGAATTTTATGCTTTCTTTCACTATCTTTCTTCTCGCTTTAACTATCTCTCAAGCTATTGTTGTGTTGTATCTTTGAAGACAAAACTTAGGCTGAAACTACATGTTAGTCTAGCCACAAGCTTTGCTATTACATTTTCACTGAATGAAATTTTTTTTAGAAACTAAGATTCAAAAAACGTTTATTTAACATCTGCAATTCAATTACATTTACTATCATTTTAATTTTAAACCAACAAATTTCATGAAAGTATTCCCAAATCAAGTGCAATACAAAAATATCTGTATATAAATTTTTCTTGTCACATAAATTTATCAATTAAATTGGTAGCGTTTGACACAGCCACCGCAAATTAAAACATAGCCAACAGAAAGTCGGAAAAATGTTAATGAACTGCTGGAAAACTTAAAAATTAGCATTGAGAATTTTTAATATTCCGAAATTCAAAAATAATATTTCCTGAATTTTTGAATTTCAAAAATCACTCTGAATTTCAAGATTCATTTACCCGTCGCGATAAAACTAATCCAAAATAAAAAAAATGGATGAGTACGGTAATTTTTCATACCAATTTCGTTCATTAATATTTATGAAATTGACACTAAAAATGAAATTGACACGAAATAAATACAGGAAAGAATTTGTCAAGCAATGTCTTATCATCAGTCCAGGAGATCAGTTTACACAATCAATTTACTCAAGGAATGAAGGATTTAGTTATTGATGACAATTCTAGATTGATCGTCAGAAAATTTCATGCTATTTTGAAATTCATCGATCTTAGCTTTCCCGATACACTCATTAAAGCTCGCCCTTGATTTCAGTGGAAAAAAGGTACAAATGTGATTGAGGGATTCCTTAATGTGAATATACAGCCTCAAAACTGGTGCTAGGGATTTTAGCAGAGCAACCTTGTAGCGGCTCAGAACAATTGGTCAGCTAAAAGACTCATTTTTCATTTGTTATGCGAAAAGATCGGTCCCCCTTAAAATTGTTCTATTAATTTCCCCAGTGATGTTAATCTGAGCATCGAATAAATTACCGTAAATAAGGCAGTTTAATTACGTTCGAGAAAGTTTTGAACGATTGACCGGGGCATACTGATTTATTTAATTGCTGTATTTGCTTGAAATTAGTGTGGATGGAACTATTCAAGCATGCCCATGTTTTATTTAAAGGAAAACGGATAATGCAAAACAGTCGCAATGCACATTATAGTTTTATTTCTCTCCTAGAATGGTTATTTATACTTTGAGCACACTAGACGTTTTAAAATCTAGTTTACTCAATTATACGCCAAAGAAGTTGGTGGTGCTAAGTATTTTAGCAGACCAGTTTTGTAGCAGACCGATCTGTAGCAAACTAAGAATTAGCGAGCCAGAACCCAAGACGAGGGAAGGTCCACCAAAGACTGAGCGTCTTTTTACGTCTTTCAATCAATGATTTGTCAATTGCATTCCTTTGGTCGGCTAATAGACTTTTTATGTTAAAAAATAGTCTGCTAAAAGATCGGTCTCCACAGTTCGTGTTATCGCAAAGAGCATGCTATTTTTATACTGCTATTTGTGCGTATCCAGCTTCAGAAAATACGCATCACTATCACGTGCTTACAATAAGGCGACCTCTGTCTATTTACTTAAAATCATTCGACCACACTTGGTAAAGAAACCATGTGTTTGTGGTTTGAACACAAGGCTAGCAAGAGTATACAACCACTGTACAACAAAACCTCCAGATCAATTCAGGTAGTTCAGTTCAGAAAATCATAAGCAAACTCAACAAAATTCATACTACTGTACAACAATGTACTACTGTCAGAATAAATTAACAGATATAATCAACCAAATCTAGTCAAAACGTCGCATCTTGTCAACTAACCCCCCCCCCCCCCTCCCTTCACCCTCTCGGTACGCCTCCACTAGTTACCTTGTAAAAAGTTTCCATCCCTATTAGGAACTAATTCAACGATTACCTTTGTACCTTGTAACGAGTTCACCCCTTTTGCAATAGGGGGAGGGGGGGTGGGGTGGGGTGTGAAACAAGATACAATACAACTTTTGAAGCATTAAATAAAATTGAAAAATTGACACCAGTAAATTTCTGTGACCATTGAGCAAGCGGCAGATGAAGTATTGCTGAATACATCAGTGAGCAATACCACAAAAAGTTATGAAATAGTAACTATTGCAAGCAGAGTCAAACTAAACTAAATTTGGCATGGTAACTTATAACAAACCTATCAATATCAATAACTAGCAAGGCATTAATACAGAATTAAGACATCGAAATGAGATCAAACTTCAGGAGAAAAGTAGAGATTCCATGATGATACTGGAAAAGCGAACTCAATCCAGGTGCAAAAAGATAGTCTTCAAGACTTTCGGCAGAAAATATTACCCGCTCATTAACCTTCAAAGAGATGTTTGACTAAAATATTTTCTACCCTTGGTATTTAGCATAGTTTCAATATGAATTTAATTTTAAAAAGTGTCAGTCACTGACTCTTACGCATTAGAAGTATTAAAAACAGAGCCTTCTTTGACGCCGAGTTCTGAGTCGCCTTTCCTCGTCCTTTTTAGAGACGGACGTTTCGCCTGCACAAACACTTCATCTTGTTTGTCCCCTGTTGGGTTATGAACTATATCCACGGGAATTTTCGTAAGATTGTCCTCGCTACTAGACTCTTGGTATTTTTCAGCTTCTTTCCTAAACTCAGACAAAAAGTAAACCAGACTTCTCGTATCAGGGCAAATCACTTAATGTTCCGAACGCCCCTTAGGATTCAAGGAATAAGCAATCTTTCCAAGACACTTAAAAATAGACAATACTAGCAAGCCTGTCTCAAATGATTAATCAGCTCGCAAAAATTAGTGGTTCTGCTCAAGCTATGAAACAGTTTTATGAAACAGTTTTTTCATGAATCAAATTGGAGGTCGCGAAAACTTTCTGAGCAATCTACTCCAGATATGAAACTCTGAGATATTCTCTAACTCATATAGCGAATCAGATGACAAAAAGTTTAATTATTTCTATTGAAACTATTTAAGCGATGGAACATGGCAAAATTTCGAGCTATTTCATGAAAGGAATCGGATTGCGAATAGTTTAAGTTTTTCTATTGGAGTCAAATTAAACTCTTCTAAGCGAAATAATCGAACAATCAAACTTTGAAAAATTTCGAGCTGTTTCAAGCTATGAAAATTTGAAATACTTCAAGTTGTTTCTTAGACCAAAAAGTTTTGTGAAAAATAAGATTTTATGAATGAAGCTAGTCAAGCTATGAATTTTTGAAAAACTTCTTATTATTACATAGACCGAATCGGTTTGCAACAAAAATCATGTTTTTCATAAGCAAACCACTCAAACTATGAAGCTTTGAAATATTTCAATTTGATTTACAGATCATATCGGTTCGCTACAAATTCAAACTATGAAGCCTTGAAATAATCCAAGTTGTTTTTAAGACCGAATCATGTTGCAAAAAGTGGCAGAAAGCTAAGTATTTCAAGTTATCTCCTAGACCGAATCAGTTCGCAAAAGTAAGGAGTTTTTTAGCCATTCCAGCTATGAAACTTAGAAATAATGGAACGATTCGGTTCGCAAAATGTTTAAGTTTTTCTGAAAAATTCATTGAAGCCATGAAATTTCCAATTATTTCTAGTTTATATATAGAGCGAAAATTTTTGCAAAAAAAAATCCTATGGAAGCTATTCAAGCAAGAAAATTTTAAAACATTTCAAGGTTTTTACTGGAGCAAATCAGTTCGCAAAAAATTGAAGCATTTCTAAGCTAGCTATTGAAGCTATGAAACTTCGAAACAATTCAGGTTAATTCATAGATCTAATGGGTTTGCAAAAATTTTGATTTTCTAAGGCAAGCTATTGAAGCTATGAATTTCGAAACTTTTCAATATGTTTCTTAACCACAAATTTTTCTAAGCAAGCTTTTTCAGCTATGTATCTTTAAATTATTTCAAACTATTTCATAGACCGAATCATTTTGCGAACAGCTTAACTTGTTCTAATCAAGCTATTAAAGCTCTCAAACTTTTAAATATTTCAAATTAATTCAAAGGCCAAAAGCATAACTTGCTGAGAAAAGATTTCAAAAAGTTTTGCTCAATGAAATATGAAAATTAAGATTTTTTTCAAAACGATTGGGTCTATGAAATAGCTTGAAATATTATGCTATTCATGCAATAAAACTTTGAAATAAGTTGTTTCATAGAACAAATCGACTGGCAAGAAATTTCACGTTCTCTAAGCAAGTTATTGAGGCGATTGAACTTTGATTTAATTCAAGATTTTTCATAGCGCAGATCGGTTAGCAAACAGCTAGTTTTTCTTCAAGGAGGTTGCTGTTTTCAGTCGGTTCAATTCAGAATGAAATCAATCTGAAAAGTCAAAATTTCGGCAAAATGGAGGTACTGTCTAGCCTTGAAAATGAATTGAGTTCATCTTGTCTACAGAACTGAATTTTTGTCAAAAATTTTGAAAGTTCTAGAATATTCTTGGCCTTCTCTTAAAAGTTAAGCCTAAAAAATTTTCTAACCGTTACATTCGACAAAGCTAAACCATTGCGTTCAGTTAAACATTACGTCCATAGCGCATTCCGACTTTCATTTATTATATAGGATTTCAACACAGAGACGAAGTTGCACTTCGCATACACAAGCAAAAATATGACCGACAACGCTACTGGGAAAAACTGAATGAGTAAAACTTTGAGTCTACAAAATGTCTTAAGAAACGCACGCCAATTATGAGTCTATATAATTGCTAAGTGACACAAGCCAATTATGATGCATTAGAAGTAACAGTCAATTTAAACAAAAACTGACCAACTTACATGCCTCAATTTATAGTGCAGGCGCATTTTAACTATTATAATCAAACTTCAAACAATCAAACTTCGAAAAATTTCGAGTTGTTTCAAGCTATGAAAACTTGAAATAGTTCAAGTTGTTTCTTAGACCAAGAAGTTTTGTGAAAATTAAAATTTTATGAATGAAGCTAGTCAAGCTATGAATTTTTGAAAAACTTCTTAATTTTACATCGACCGAATCAGTTTGCAAAAAAATCATGTTTTTCATAAACAAACCACTCAAACTATGAAGCTTTGAAATATTTCAATTTGATTTACAGATCATATCGGTTCGCTAAAAATTCAAACTATGAAGCCTTGAAATAATCCAAGTTGTTTTTAAGACCCAATCATGTTGCAAAAAGTGGCAGAAAGCTAAGTATTTCAAGTTATCTTATAGATCCAATCAGTTCGCGAAAGTAAGGAGCTTTTTTTAGCCATTCCAGCTATGAAACTTAGAAATAATAGAACGATTCGGTTCGCAAAATGTTTAAGTTTTTCTGAGCAATTTATTGAAGCCATGAAATTTCCAATTATTTCTAGTTTATATATAGAGCGAATATTTTTGCAAACAAAAATCCTATGAAAGCTATTCAAGCAAGAAAACTTTAGATAATTTCAAGGTTTTTTTCTGGAGCAAATCAGTTCGCAAACAATTTAAGCATTCCTAAGCTAGCTATTGAAGCTATGAAACTTCGAAACAAGTCAGGTTAATTCATAATTCAAATGTGTTTGAAAAAGTTTTGATTTTCTAAGGCAAGCTATTGAAGCTATGAAATTTCAAAATTTTTCAATTTGTTTCTTAACCACAAATTTTTCTAAGCAAGCTTTTTCAGTTATGAATCTTTAAATTATTTCAAACTATTTCATAGACCGAATCGTTTTGCGAACAGCTTAATTTGTTCGAATCAAGCTATTAAAGCTCTGAAACTTTTAAATATTTCAAGTTATTTCAAACGCCAAATCGGTTTGCGAATAACTTGCTCTGAAAAGGTTTCAAAAAGTTTTGCTCAATGAAATATGAAATTTAAGATTTTTTGCAAAACGATTCGGTCTATGAAATAGCTTGAAATATTATGCTACTCATGCAATAAAACTTTGAAATAAGTTGTTTCATAGAGCAAATCGACTGGCAAGAAATTTCACGTTTTCTAAGCAAGTTATTGAGAAAATTGAACTTTAATTTATTTCAAGATTTTTCATAGCGCAGATCGGTTAGCAAAAAGCTAGTTTTTCTTCAAGGAGGTTGCTGTTTTTAGTTGGTTCAATTCAGAATGAAATCAATCTGAAAAGCCAAAACTTCGGCAAAATGGAGGTACTGTCTAGCCTTGAGAATGAATTGAGTTCATCTTGTCTATAGAACTGATTTTTTGTCAAAAATTTTGAAAGTTCTACAATATTCTTGGCCTTCGCTTAAAAGTTAAGCCTAAAAAATTTTCTGACCGTTACATTCGACAAAGCTAAAACATTGCGTTCAGTTAAACATTGCGTCCATAGCGCATTCCGGCATTCATTTATTATATAGGATTTCAACACAGAGACGAAGTTGCACTTCGCATACACAAGCAAAAATATGACCGACAACGCTACTGGGAAAAACTGAATGAGTAAAACTTTGAGTCTACAAAATGTCTTAAGAAACGCACGCCAATTATGAGTCTATATAATTGCTAAGTGACACAAGCCAATTATGATGCATTAGAAGTAACAGTCAATTTAAACAAAAACTGACCAACTTACATGCCTCAATTTATAGTGCAGGCGCATTTTAACTATTATAATCAAACTTCAAACAATCAAACTTCGAAAAATTTCGAGTTGTTTCAAGCTATGAAAACTTGAAATAGTTCAAGTTGTTTCTTAGACCAAGAAGTTTTGTGAAAATTAAAATTTTATGAATGAAGCTAGTCAAGCTATGAATTTTTGAAAAACTTCTTAATTTTACATCGACCGAATCAGTTTGCAAAAAAATCATGTTTTTCATAAACAAACCACTCAAACTATGAAGCTTTGAAATATTTCAATTTGATTTACAGATCATATCGGTTCGCTAAAAATTCAAACTATGAAGCCTTGAAATAATCCAAGTTGTTTTTAAGACCCAATCATGTTGCAAAAAGTGGCAGAAAGCTAAGTATTTCAAGTTATCTTATAGATCCAATCAGTTCGCGAAAGTAAGGAGCTTTTTTTAGCCATTCCAGCTATGAAACTTAGAAATAATAGAACGATTCGGTTCGCAAAATGTTTAAGTTTTTCTGAGCAATTTATTGAAGCCATGAAATTTCCAATTATTTCTAGTTTATATATAGAGCGAATATTTTTGCAAACAAAAATCCTATGAAAGCTATTCAAGCAAGAAAACTTTAGATAATTTCAAGGTTTTTTTCTGGAGCAAATCAGTTCGCAAACAATTTAAGCATTCCTAAGCTAGCTATTGAAGCTATGAAACTTCGAAACAAGTCAGGTTAATTCATAATTCAAATGTGTTTGAAAAAGTTTTGATTTTCTAAGGCAAGCTATTGAAGCTATGAAATTTCAAAATTTTTCAATTTGTTTCTTAACCACAAATTTTTCTAGGCAAGCTTTTTCAGTTATGAATCTTTAAATTATTTCAAACTATTTCATAGACCGAATCGTTTTGCGAACAGCTTAATTTGTTCGAATCAAGCTATTAAAGCTCTGAAACTTTTAAATATTTCAAGTTATTTCAAACGCCAAATCGGTTTGCGAATAACTTGCTCTGAAAAGGTTTCAAAAAGTTTTGCTCAATGAAATATGAAATTTAAGATTTTTTGCAAAACGATTCGGTCTATGAAATAGCTTGAAATATTATGCTACTCATGCAATAAAACTTTGAAATAAGTTGTTTCATAGAGCAAATCGACTGGCAAGAAATTTCACGTTTTCTAAGCAAGTTATTGAGAAGATTGAACTTTAATTTATTTCAAGATTTTTCATAGCGCAGATCGGTTAGCAAAAAGCTAGTTTTTCTTCAAGGAGGTTGCTGTTTTTAGTTGGTTCAATTCAGAATGAAATCAATCTGAAAAGCCAAAACTTCGGCAAAATGGAGGTACTGTCTAGCCTTGAAAATGAATTGAGTTCATCTTGTCTATAGAACTGATTTTTTGTCAAAAATTTTGAAAGTTCTACAATATTCTTGGCCTTCGCTTAAAAGTTAAGCCTAAAAAATTTTCTGACCGTTACATTCGACAAAGCTAAAACATTGCGTTCAGTTAAACATTGCGTCCATAGCGCATTCCGGCATTCATTTATTATATAGGATTTCAACACAGAGACGAAGTTGCACTTCGCATACACAAGCAAAAATATGACCGACAACGCTACTGGGAAAAACTGAATGAGTAAAACTTTGAGTCAACAAAATTTCTTAAAAAACGCACGCCAATTATGAGTCTACATAATTGCTTAGTGACACAAGCTAATTATGATGCATAAGAAGTACCAGTCAATTTTAACGAAAACTGACCAACTTACATGCCTCAATTTATAGAGCAGACGCATTTTAACTATTATATTCAACCTTCAAACAATCAAACTTTGAACAATTTCGAGTTGTTTCAAGCTATGAAAATTTGAAATAGTTCAAGTTGTTTTTTAGACCAAAAAGTTTTGTGAAAATTAAAATTTTATGAATGAAGCTAGTCAAGCTATGAATTTTTCAAAAACTTCTTGTTTTTACATCGACCGAATCGGTTTGCAAAAAAATCATGTTTTTCATAAACAAAACACTCAAACTATGAAGCTTTGAAATATTTCAATTTGATTTACAGATCATATCGGTTCGCTAAAAATTCAAACTATGAAGCCTTGAAATAATCCAAGTTGTTTTTAAGACCGAATCATGTTGCAAAAAGTGGCAGAAAGCTAAGTATTTCAAGTTATCTCATAGATCGAATCAGTTCGCAAAAGTAAGGAGTTTTTTTAGCCATTCCAGCGATGAAACTTAGAAATAATAGAACGATTCGGTTCGCAAAATGTTTAGGTTTTTCTGAGCATTTTATTGAAGCCATGAAATTTCCAACTATTTCTAGTTTATGTATAGAGCGAATATTTTTGCAAAAAAAATCCTATGGAAGCTATTCAAGCAAGAAAATTTTAGAATATTTCAAGGTTTTTTCTGGAGCAAATCAGTTCGCAAAAAATTTAAGCATCTCTAAGCTAGCTATTGAAGCTATGAAACTTCGAAACAATTCAGGTTAATTCATAGATCTAATGGGTTTGCAAAAATTTTGATTTTCTAAGGCAAGCTATTGAAGCTATGAATTTCGAAACTTTTCAATATGTTTCTTAACCACAAATTTTTCTAAGCAAGCTTTTTCAGCTATGAATCTTTAAATTATTTCAAACTATTTCATAGACCGAATCGTTTTGCGAACAGCTCAATTTGTTCGAAACAAGCTATTAAAGCTCTGAAACTTTCAAATATTTCAAGTTATTTCAAACGCCAAATCGGTTTGCGAATAACTTGCTGAGAAAAGGTTTCAAAAAGTTTTGCTCAATGAAATATGAAATTTAAGATTTTTTGCAAAACGATTCGGTCTATGAAATAGCTTGAAATATTATGCTACTCATGCAATAAAACTTAGAACTAAGTTGTTTCATAGAGCAAATCGACTGGCAAGAAATTTCACGTTTTCTAAGCAAGTTAGTGAGAAGATTGAACTTTAATTTATTTCAAGATTTTTCATAGCGCAGATCGGTTAGCAAAAAGCTAGTTTTTCTTCAAGGAGGTTGCTGTTTTTAGTTGGTTCAATTCAGAATGAAATCAATCTGAAAAGCCAAAACTTCGGCAAAATGGAGGTACTGTCTAGCCTTGAAAATGAATTGAGTTCATCTTGTCTATAGAACTGAATTTTTGTCAAAAATTTTGAAAGTTCTAGAATATTCTTGGCCTTCGCTTAAAAGTTAAGCCTAAAAATTTTTCTAACCGTTACATTCGACAAAGCTAAAACATTGCGTTCAGTTAAACATTGCGTCCATAGCGCATTCCGGCATTCATTTATTATATAGGATTTCAACACAGAGACGAAGTTGCACTTCGCATACACAAGCAAAAATATGACCGACAACGCTACTGGGAAAAACTGAATGAGTAAAACTTTGAGTCTTCAAAATTTCTTAAAAACGCACGCAAATTATGAGTCTACATAATTGCAAAGTGACACAAGCCAATTATGACGCATTAGAAGTACCAGTCAATTTTAACAGAAACTGACCAACTTACATGCCTCAATTTATAGAGAAGACGCATTTTAACTATTATAATCAAACTTCAAACAAGTATTCGCAAAATTTCATTTAAAACATGCGACCCTGCTGAGGTTCGAACCCACTTTTTTTGCTGCTGGTCTCATTCCCTACCTCTACGCTACAGAACCATGACACCTTTAAGCTAAATTGCTATTTGTAATACAATGGTGTGTGTTAATATCCTTAGCATTTGCTGTACTTAATCGCTGATTATTGATCTTATGCATATACTGCAATAAAAAAGCACTTTCAAAAAGAGCACAAACATTTGCGACTTAGGTTGGAAAAAAAATGAGTTCGTTATATCACAAAAGCTTTGCTTGTGTAAAAAAAGCTGTCTCAAAAATTGCACGACTTGGATCAGTCAAAATTCACTTGGCTCATTAATGCTTAATAAACCATGCTTTCGAAGCTTCGCTTGTGTAGCCATTTTAAAATTTGACAATTTGCGCCGCATGTTATGCAACGCTCTGCTTGCCTATTATATTCACAAATGAGACAAAAAGTAGCGTAAATGAAAAAAATTCAGAACAAGGACAGCCGGTTGCTGTACAATTACCCAAAAAAGTTCCAACCACAACAATAAAAAAAAGACTCAATTTGAAAAACAAATTTTTAAAATGAGTCGTTTTGTTTTCAACCAGGGTGTGATGAGATGATCTGAGCGAACGTCTAGGACAACTCGACAGTAATAATTACTAAAGCAGCATTTTCAACAACGAAAGAAAAAACTAAAACGTAGCTAACAGATAGTTGAACGACCAGAGAAAACAAAAAAGTGGATCGAAAAATTTTAAACATTTTCAAGTTCAGTAGAAAAAAATATATCAAGCCTTAGCTTTTTAAATTTTATGAATTTTTTTATGATTGCTACTTTTTTGTTTTTAATATTAGAGCAAACTGAATCAATCAGTAAAAATTTGTTTCATCTGGGCATTCAGAAACTAGAAGTCCATTTTTGAAACTAAGGGTAATGCACAATTTTCGTGCCCTCTACTTTTTTTGTTCGATAGTAGTTTTCCATCCTTTTACACAGGCAAAGCTGCACTTCACAAACGCTAGCAAGAAAATGACAAAAATGCAGCTCTATAAAAAACTAAAAGGAAAAGCTAAAAATAAGCCTTGAAAATTAAATATTCTGAAGTGGCGGATTTGACTCTACGGCCGAAAGATTTAGAGTCCTGTCCTCACATCTGCCTCACGGGCCCTTGACAATTTTAACACTAGCAAGAACACCACAAAAAAAGCAGCTCTTTAAAGTGCAATAAGAAAAAGTAGAAAAAGGCCTCGGATTAGTAAAAAAAATTCGAATACGTCTCAAAAATGTACCAAACAATTTGAAATCCTACAAAAACTAATTTCCAACTCTTACACAGGCGAAGTTCACTTCGCATACACAGGCAAAATTATGACCCATAACGCTTCTGGGAAAAATTGAACGGGTGAAACTTTGAGCCTACATAATTTCTTAACTGGCGCACGCTAATTATGGCGCATTAGGAGTACCAGTCAATTTGAAAAAAGAATATTACCAACTAACATGCCTCAATTTATAGGGCGAATGCATTTTAACTAGTATACGAAAAGTTCATTAAAAACATCCAACCCTCGAAGCCTTTTATTTTGTTGCAGGTCTCCTTCCCTACTTCTACGCTACAGATCCATGATACCTTGAAGCTAAAGTCCAATTTTTAATAGTGAGTAAACATCCTTAGCATTGGCTATACTTGATAACTGGTTATTGATCTTATGCACATACTGCAATAAAAGAACACTTTCAAAATGAACACAAGCTTGGAAAAAAAGGGAGTTCATACTATCACACAAGCTTTGCTTCTATAAAAATATAAGATTCATTTGATATATAAGATGCGTTAAAATATCGGACTTCTTCAATTGCGACCTCTCTAAGCCGCATTAATTTGTAAGTCTTTTTCCTAAAAAGAAAACACATAGGACCACCCGACCTTATTGCGGGAATTCACTCCCTTCATCAGAACATTTATTAACAATTATTAAAAGTTATTGAACACGAAGTTGTCCTCGCTTTCCAAAAGAAAACAACAAAGCTAAAACGCACCCGAAGACAAGATTCCTCCCCACTTTCAGTGATCGCAACAATAATGGGAAGAAATGATTCACATGTTAAGACAAGTTGAAAAATGGAGAAGACATGAAATGCCAATCATTTTTCTCTGATTTGACTCACTGTTTAATTAACAACTTGTTTCGCCTTTAGACAAAGGCAGCTCGGATGTCTTCAGTGGTCTTAAAATACTTTATATGGAATTTTATGAAAATATCGTATCTGTGGCAAAAGTTTCCTGATAGCAGTAAAGGAATTGGATAACTGCAATACATACCCATGATAAATTTGGTTATCTGGTAGGTTCTGCACATCTGATTCACTGCTTTTTTCCAGTATGGCTTCGAGCTTGTAGAAAAACAACAAAAACACCGACACTACAGTAAAACAACAGGGCACAGGTGCAATCAAATATCTGATGGCTGTTGACACATTTAGGTTCTGCTCACAAGCTCCGTTATTGTAGCCTACATAGAATAAGGTCAACTGGCTGATTCCTTGTGCTACACCTACTGCAAATTTGGTAAAGAACACAAACACTCCGTAGAATAAGCCATCGTGCCTGGCACCTCTAGTGTGATGGTAATCTGCAATCACGTCTGGGAGCATAGACCAGGGAAGTAAGTAGGCGTTTGCTACCCCAACTCCTGCAAACACACACCACACACACGCCTGCCATAGTAGGGTGGTTGCGGGCAGAAAGAACATAGCCACTATCGGTATCATTAGAACAACATTTCCCACGGCAAATGCTCGTCGTTTCGACATAAACCGTAATGAGCATTGCCAAATTGGAACTGATAAGAACGCGGAGACCTGAAATTAAGACCTGAATGTAAATTGATAAAGAAATGCACATCTATACGATATTTAACCTAATAAATTATTCGACTTTCATCTCTTCGCATAAATTGAAAATTCTTCAATAAGTTAATGCATAGTCACTTGCCAAGAGACAAATTAGAGGATAGTAGTATGCATCTTTGAGACCGAATACGATCTTCAAATACAACACGAAGTTGGTCTGGATCAGTTGGAGCGAAAGCGCCAGGAATAGGTAGGCTGCTGTGAGCATCTGGAAGGGTTTGTAGTTGATAATGAGCCAGAAAGCGCTACGGAATGACTCCTTAATTTCGACTTGCGCGGAGCCAGATATACTGTGTGCGCGTCGTCGTCTTGTCTCCGAACTCTCGTAATCTACAAGAAAAACGTCACAACTTAACTACATTTATAACTAACAAATTTAAATAATCGAATTATTTCATTAAATTCTTACTGATTGTCTCGTCATTTCCCATAACGAAGGAGACAAGAGCTATTACAATAAGAACGGTAATTATAGAAGCAGCGATCAAGTAGCTCTTTTTCCAGGAATTAAGCACATCCTCGCTTATGAATCCAGGAGCTACTGAAGAAGTATGATTTAATTCTAGACTCTGTGACTTTCCGCAATCGTCAGCTTCACTCTCGCTCAAGAAGAGAATGGTCAGATTCTGTACCAGGACTGACACGACAATGGAGAATAACTCAATTGTCATTTCTAAAATACCAAGTTATAGCATAACTTTCAGATTCTTTGTTTTGTACGCTATAGCATTTCGAAAAGAAGTATACCAACTTAGTGCTGTTGCACTATTTCTGTCCTTGTGATTTTTCGTGATGTACATAATCATCACATTCGAGGGAACATTCAGGCACTAAAAAGAGCTGACATGTATCAACAACAGGCACGTTTACACAGCAAAGAGTTCTATAAAGATAAAGGACTTACAGTAACAGACGTCTGAAACACCATGTAAATGATAAGGTAGTAGCCAAATTTGAGCACAGCTGGAACTGGTGGCACAATCCAAAGAAGAAAATATGAGACTGCTAGCACTGGAGTATTGATTGCGCACCTGAAAGAATATAAAAAATCTTTATAGCGACTTCACGATTACTTCAAATAAAAGAAGGCCACAGATCTCTTGCGATGGTTCTTGTTCCATCTCAACTACAAACATGAATGTGCGTCTGAATTGAATTTGCTCATTTGAATAATAGACTGAAGATAAAAGATTGTTCCGAGAGATCATCAGCTTCTTACCATTTTTTCAGAGAAGGTGCTCGATTTTGGGTTACATTCACTAAGTGTCCAACAATGGGATCAGTAATCGCATCCCAAAAACGACCTGTCAATACAATGATTGAGACTAAAACTGGAGATAGTCGCGCTACCTCAAGAAGAAACACCAGATAGAAGAATCCTATTGCCGTGTTGGTCAGTTGATACGGTGGACCACAAAAGGAAAACGAAATTTTATTCTTCACTGTTAGCCGTCTATCCGCGTTTTTCTTCGTTTCAGCGTTCCTCTAAAATCATACATTCAGCCATAGATCAAACAATTTCCAATATCAAACTAAAACTTTGAATGCATACTTGTTCGTCCATTTTCTTGCAGAAATGTCGCGTGGCTTCTGATAAACTTAAATTGCAGAAATCTGAAAAATATAAATCGGGTCGCTGTCGAAATATAGCTTTCGATCTCCATTGGGCGAATTCCAATTTCAACAATAGTAAGGAAAAGGACCGGGAATCTTCCAGATACGTTCAGGTTACAATTTGCTTGAGAAATTACGATGGCAACCATGGTTTCATAGAGGCGAATAGATGGAAAGGGGTGGAAATGGAACGGAAAAAAAACATGAGCAAAATGTTGAAACAAATTTTATCAAATGACAATTTCAATTGCAAAGCGGTTTCCATGCAATCCCCCAACCCTAGCTACAACCACGCTCCCCCAAATGCACCATCACCCTTTCACTGCCCCACACTTACAAAACTCAGGAGAGTCTTCCACTATACAACCTCGAACAATACAAGACCCATGGTTAAACCCGTCCAGAACTCATAGAAACCACCAGAAAAATATACACCGAAGTGGTCCACTGGAAACCTGTCTTTATGATCTTGTCAAAAAATAAAGTTGGTTATAACTTCATTGAAACCCTCAATAGAACTTTGAACAGCCTAATAGAAAACAACGAAAATACCTTCGCAATGCACGCAGCAATGATTTTTCCACAATTATTATGTAACAGTCGCCTACTTCGGTCACATATGAGGCTTAAGAAAAATAGGCCCTATAACCATTGGCTCAAGAGTCAGGGACACTATCTCTTGAGTTTTTCTACCTCAAGAACGGTCGGAGCCAATTCGGTTCGCTTGCGACATGAGACTAGAACCCGTTACAGCTTAAAGGCTACTACCAAAATATCCCCCCACTCTAGAAAATAAGAACGTCCCCATACTTAGGTCTCGAAATACCCAAAATACACGAACGCCGTTAAAAACATGGTCGGAACAATCCGTTAAGTTACTTTTTATTGGACAGTGGAACTTTGATCCATTTCAGATGGATCAACCTAAAACTCGCCTTATCTCAACATAACAATCATAAAAAAACACTCGAGAAAATTAAATTGGGGACTCACATGTTGATGCACTCGAGTACAAGGAGTAATTAGATTGATAAGCAACTCAAGAATTAGATAATATAACTAGATAAGTTTAATGCTGATCAGTTTTGATAACAGAAGTAAATTCGGACTCTAGAATTTGAGTTTTTGTATGAACCATTGGGACACTCAAGCTGTCCACCTTTCAATTGAAGGCTCACTCTGGTTCGTTTCGAATAGTTGTTCTCTCTTCTTTTGATTATTTCTCCTCCTATTTCAGGATAGACAGCTCTACTCGTGTCTTATTTTGTATCGGGAAATTGCGAATATCAATTTCCCGCTGTTTTATTCAAGTACTTTCCCGCGATTGTAAATCGGTCGTTCTGCTTTTTCACTTTTTGTTTTCAGTTGGTGCGAGAAAACTGAGCATGACAGGCTCCATTCGAAATTTTGAAAATTAAAACTTCACTCCAAAATTACGTATTTTCGTGTCCCTCAAGGTCAAAATTCCAGACATGACCGACTGGCACATACTCCCCGGACTCAAGATCGATGTCCTCATCGCGTGCTGTCTCTGTCAGTGAATCCCCAGAAGCCCGAGTGTCACTCAAGATACAGTGCCAGTGGTCATTTACAGAAGTTTGCAGCAGACTTAAGTTTATCTACCTTCCAAAATTCACAACCATATAAAATTTTCACACAATCGCTAAACAGCAATCAAAATCTGCACACACCTGCACCTATGAATTCTCGCTTTTTAAGCTGGTAATTTAAAATTTCTTTTGTCCTATTTCAATCAGGAAATTGTCATGCAGCATTTTGATTCATATAATAGATCTAGCATATTAATAACAATATCTCATTTGTTAAAATTTCTTTTTCGTGAACTCAGATTTCATCCGAGTTCACCCTCGAGCCCCCTCCCTCTCAAGACTCAAGACTCTAGAATTTTCCTTTTGAGCCACCGGCTCACCTCGTGTTCTACGCCCTCAAGGTACCCGACCCCGATATGTTTGACACTGTGATCTGTTTTAATAGTGCCTCTTCGTCATCGGAGCTGATCAAAATCTCCTCCCAAGCCTTCAGCTGTTCATAGGATCGCATCCACTCCCTTTGCTCTTGCAATCTCTTCGCTTGATTCGGTAAGCTCTTCACCTTCGACTCCCGGTTCAAAGAGAAGGAATTGTGAAGACTCAGGCTTACATTCTTTGCCAGGTCCTCCGCCAGTATCGACTCCCTCGCTCTAGTGTTGTCTCTGGATACTCCACCCACTCTTTTCCACCCCGTCGTGATCGCATTTCGATGGGTCAGCAGAGGTCTCTTGAAGGCATCTGGTCTTATCTCGGCCTGGAATTGTCGATATTCCTTTTGATGTTTCCTCATGTGATCCTTCGTCACCACATATAACCAGGATGTTAACGTCGCGCGAAACCAAGGAAAGAATCTCAAGCGGCTCCACACGTTTCTGACCTCCATTGGTATGGCGAATACCTTGCACGCGGTCTCGAACAACTCAAGTCTCCTGCTGTAATCTATCGCGTAAATCGACTCTGCTGTTGGCGTCTTCGATTCCCGATACTTTGCTATGTTTTCTTCCATCCATCGTAGAGCCAGCATTGTGCTCACCACCAAGATGGTCACTTTTCGTTGATGCTCGGGTAGTCCCAACGACCTGATTTCTTCTACATCCCAGATCAGGCAGAGATTGGCGTGGTCTGGGTACCACACTGTCTGCGCCAGACAGTGGCATGGACAATCCCCGTGTGTGAGGTCGATGCTCCTAAGATTGCGTTCTCCCGAGGCTTCTAGGAGAGGCTCAAGTTCCATCATCTTCTCGTGTATCACGTCGACTTCTTCCAAGTTTGGAGCACCTACCATGGGTTTCCCAATCACGTTTTGTCTCTCGTGGTCACTTGTACTTTCGCTCTCCAAGCCTAGAAGTTCTTCGCCCCAGATTTCACTCAAGTCGTCCCTTTGTTCTTTCGGCACTGTTCCTCGGATCTTCCTCAACAGCTTGTGTGAATGATGTGACATCCGAGCCAGTCTTACACATGTAGGCACTGAGAACGCTTTGTCTATCAATACCCTCTGGCTGGACACTTTTACCATCGCCATGTGTAATGGGTAGTGGCTGCCACATAGATTGGCCATCACTGACCCCACTAGGGACTTCGCATTTAGAGGCAGACCATAGGCTTCGCTCATGGGGAATCCCTTCTCCGCTTCGAGTCCAACCTTCCAACTCTTGATGTGTTTCTGGGTCACTTGCAACACTCCGGGCCATGACTCCACGCTCAACGCGGTCACCAAGTGGTGTTCTGACTCTAGCCTCTCCAGTGACTGGAGACTGCACATTCTTGAGAAGAATCCCAGAGCTGTTGCTAGGTTCACCGTGGTACTCGAGTAACACTCAGCCACTATCTGTATCTCACTTTTCTCCCTTTCGGTAATGTCTTCAAACCAGGTGACTAGGTCTTCTTTCTGGAAAGACTGTATCCTGACGCATGATCGTCCATCGCAGATGTGCTCGCCACTACCACACGTCGAGTCAAGACAACTGCCCGGCTCCATTTTCTTCACCGACCCTAGTTTACTCGTCGCTTCGCTTGACTCCTTCACATGAGGCAGGATCAGTCTATGTACTGTACTCAAGGTCGCCAAATCTTCATCCTCTGTCGGCGCTAACCTCACTCGCTCAGTGGCTTCCTCGATCAGGCTCGCATGGGGATGTGGAAACCAGGAGGGCCTGAGCAATTTCCACACCACTCCCAGATTCGTGGTCAACATGCCTTTCACGTTACCCATTTTTAGTTCTACTCTTTTACTTGAGCGTGGCACACTTATTACTTCCGGTGTTCTCTCGAGAATCAAACCTAGGCTAGGTCTCTCCCTTTCCACAGTGTCTATCTCCATTATCTTCTCTGTCCAGAATTTCAGTAGCTCCGCCACTTCATAGTTTCTGTGGGCACCTCCAGCTTCTAAGTCCAAGAAAGGGTTGTATGCCATCCCCATCACTCCAGACACATACTGGTACTCTCCCTTTTTGTTGGGTTTCAAGTACTCTCCTGACGAAGCCAAGTTACGGTGAACGTCGTGTTTCTCCTCAAACTTCTTGTTGTAGAATCTCCGTATCTCATCTAACTTCCTGTGGCTCTCTAGAGATTGCCTAGAACCATCCTCCTTTTCTATCCCAGTACTCTGGTACACATTCAAGATGACTGTGGAGACTCTCCTTTCCAGCGTCTTGCTTCCAATTGCTCTCTGGTGACATGCTAGGATGGTACTGTCAGTCATCATCGACATTGTCCATCTCAAGAAACAGGTAGCATCTTTCCTCCTCGCCAGACTCAAGCCTGAGTTGTCCCTAGCAACGTGCTGCATCAGCATTCGATATACCTCTAGATTCTTGCCTCCCAACTTCAACTTGTCGTACGAAGTCAGTGTCTCTAACTCTATCCCCAACAGGCTCCACGCGAACATCAGTTGTCCTGCGGTCCTAATAAAGGGATTCGCCATCAACGGCGATGCCGATGAGGATGTTCTGATCGCTTCTTCAAAATGATCCTTTAACAAGTTCTGCCAAGTTCTCTTCAGTTGGCTCCCCAATTCCAATTTATTGATACCAGCCTTCTGCTGGGTAGCCCAGTTGCGTCGTTTGCATGACACTCCACTGTCGAGCTTCTTCAGGCAGTCTTCCAATTCCTGCAATGTTTCCAGAGCCACCCACCACAGTCGGGAGGTGTTCCTCGTTTTATTCTTCTCAAGAGGATCGCTTGTCACTTGCTTCCCAGTAGCCTGGTGTTCACTTGAGACCCATTCTTTGCCGACGTCCACTTCCCAGGTCTGCCCGCTCGTCGAACCTCGCTTCATTTTTATCCTCTGAGGTTTGAAGTCTTCTTCCGTTGTTGAGCTGGTGGGGATCTCCATCTCTTTTTCTACGTCGAGCAGTTTCCTCAGCTCGTAGCTACTCTTGTAGGCTGCTGTTTTCCATCGTGCCAGAACCATGGGGGCTGTCTCTCTCAAGTTCCTCTCCGAAACCGCATCC